TGCTTCATCTCTGGTGCTTCACTCACTCCTGCCTTTAGTGTCTTGGTAGGCATCCTTTATTCTGATTCAATTGATGGTCTGTTTAACCACTGTAATAGCAGCTAGTCACACTACTTCAACAGGCACTCTCCCTGAAAGAATATTTTCTATTAGAAATACAACTAGGATTTTTGGGGATAATTCACCACTTTGACTTTGCAACATTCCAGGATGTCATCTGGCACTTAAAAATGGGTGCAAAACTGCCGAGCTGCCCACAGTTAGCATTTATTATTAGAAGATGAATATTCTGTAGACTGTTAAGCTAACTTAAAGCATTAGGTAGACATTAAACACCCAACTCTAGCGATGGAGCTCAGGAATGAGTTCTATAATAAAAATAAAAATATTAGGAGCCAATTATGTAGTTGAAGCCATAAATGTGGATGGTGAAAAAAGAGTGGTAGCTAAAGGAGTTTCAAGACAAGGGGAGGGTTTATTTCTTAAGAGAGAAGAGACATAAACTATCAATTATTCTCATCACTCCTGCATTTGCAACCTCTTCTCCCATCTCCTCCCTTCCAGAGGAATTAGACAGGGCTAGGGCTGCAAAGAGCACAGCGTCAATACTTGGTTTTGGTGCCAACTCAGACTGCAGCTGTGTGTCTGTAAACAGTACAGTTCAGAATTTGTCACAGATGGTGCCAGCCAATAAGAAGGTGTCTAGGTATTCAAAGCAGAGTTTGCTATTTTCTCAGTAGTTAGTAAATATTATATGTCAGTTATTTTCTAACAAAGAAAATTTGGTGGTATACATATTTTAATTACAAAATATTTTTTAACAGTATAGCTCAATACATATGAGTGCATGGTGGATTTGGCATGAACACTGGTTTAACTATGCATCCCCTTCCATAAATATTCCAATGTACACTTATATGAGTTATTTCAAACATCAGTTTTATGGCATGACTTTGTTACAAATTATTCAATATGTGGCACACTCAAAAAACATTTTAAATTAAAGATATTCAATAAAAGGTTTATTTTTTAAAATTTTTTAACGAGTTTTTCTTATTTATTCATGACAGACACAAAGAGAGAGAGAGAGAGAGAGAGGCAGAGACAGAAGCAGGCTCCATGCAGGGAGCCCGATGTGGGACTCGATCCTGGGCCTCCAGGATTACACCCCGGGCTACAGGCGGTGCTAAACTGCTGCGCCACCAAGGGCTGCCCCAATAAAAGGTTTAATACAATGGTCAATTTCTGAAAACTAAATTTGCACTGTTAACCTCCTACATGTAAATCAGTGATTATGCTAATAAGGAAATATGTATAATTTTCCTTTAGAAATTGTACTGTTTTTAAACTTCAACAAGTTTGAACATCTCTAAGGTTTTAAAGTAACTTATCTTATGTTTGATCAAGAAGAAAGAAGTTTTCTTTTCAGCCAGAGTGTCTACTGTATGGTGAGTGTTTTATATGCATTTTCTTAGACCTTAAGAGCAACCATATGAGGTAGTATTTTCCTATTTTCCAAATTTCTTTAATCCCCAAGTCCATCATTTTTGTCAGTACATGCTTCTTTCATTGTAGGGTATTTAAAATCATTTTTTAAAAAGTTCTGAGTGCTCTGCCCCATGTTCCAGGTGCCACAGCTGCCCATGAGGCTGAGAACCTTCCTCTGCAGCTGCCTGTCACCCCGAGGCCGGGGGGGAAAGGGCACAGCCAGAACCATGCTGTGAAGACATTCAAACAGCCCATGAAGAAGAACCCTTTGGGGAGGGAGAGCTGGCCCCTTGGCAACAACCAGCACCCCCTTGCTAACCATATGCCTCCCGGGACTTAGATCCAGGCCAGCCATCAGATCACTGCACTCTCTTGAGAGATCCTGAGCCAGAACTGCCCATCTAAGCCACTGTTAAATATCTGATACAGACAAACTATGAGGATAACAAATGTTTATTTTTTTAAAGTTCTGATATCCTTTTATTAAATATATAAGCAATTATTTTGAATGTGGGCAACCTTTCCAGTCTTACCACCAACTCCTTTCCTTTCCCAACAAAATGGAGTACATTATGACTACAAAAGAAATATCCTCTGTTTTACTAAAAGGTAGGGAGAGGCTGAGGGAAAAGGTGACAGAGGAGGGAGAAAGGAAGAGAGGAGAAAGGAAAAAAAAACCCCACTCTTTCAAATCTCTCTTACTATCATTCACCACCTTCATGTTCTCTTTTACCTTCTTGGCTCAGATTTTTTTTTTTAATTTTTATTTTATTATTTATTTGAGAGAGAGAGAACATGAACAGGAGGTGTAAGAGAAGAGGGAGAGAGACACTCTCAAGCAGACTCTGTGCCGAGCACAGAGCCTGACCCGGTGCTCAAGCTCATGATTCAAGATCATGACCTGAGCCAAAACCAAGAATCAGAGGCTTAATGGACTGTGCCACCCAGGCTGCCCCTTGGCTCACCTTCTTCTAAAATATATCCTAATATATTTTAGAATATATAAATCTTCTTTGTATCCCAATTATTACCTCTTCAGTTTAGAACACCAGTTTATCTTGCCTGGAGCATATCATGCCTCTGACTGGTCCTGCATTTCAACTTTTGAGCCATAATCCATTTCCCATAGAAATATAAAATACTTTCAGAATTTTAATATATAATGTACAGTATATAATAGCTAATTTAAATTTTTTAAATATACAAAAATTAGACTATTTTATTTGTCTGAATCTCTTCAAAAACTTCTCATTCCATAGGTCTTAAAGTCTTTACATTGCCTTACATACCCCTATGTGAGTTGGCCCCTATCCTTTCTATGTAATCTTCTTTCACTTCCCCTAGAAAGACAAGTTGTGGTAAAACTGTGAAGACCTTTGAATAAAACACAGCAAATCTGAGCTTTATCCCATATGTCACTAATTTTCAGACATTTTTTCCTGGTAGACCACTTTTTCCTTCAATAAAATACTACACTAACTATAACATATAAAACTTGTAAAAATAGAGAGTCTGGCTGAAACAAGGTCCAGAGGCCCATCGCAATCATAAATACCAACAGTCCCCTAAGGCCACATGGCTACATATGGGGGGGGGGGGACAACCTTTATTTCTCAATTTCTAGTTACAATGCATTGCCTGCATTGACCTTCCATGGCTTAACTTCTCTCCCACATTTTGTCTTTCAACTCTAATATTTCTTTGACTTTATCTTCCAGATTACTATTTCAGTCTGTAGTTAGATCTATTACATTGTTTTGCTCTTCTGATATAGAGAAGACATACTCTTGAACAACACAGGTTTGAACTACTCAGGTCCACGTATACCAGACTTTTCAATAAACACAGTACAGTACTGTGAATATATTTTCTCCTCCTTATGATTTTAATATATTTTCTCTCTAGCTTACTTTACTGTAAGAATATATACGTACATGTAATATACATAGCATATAAAATATGTGTTAATCGACAGTGTGTGTTATCAGTAAGGTTTCCAGTCAACAACAGGCTATTAGTGATTAAGTTTCGAAGAGAGTCAAAAGTTATACTCAGATTTTCAACTGTGGGATCCCTGGGTGGCTCAGCGGTTTAGCGCCTGCCTTTGGCCCAGGGCACGATCCTGGAGTCCCGGGATAGAGTCCCACATCGGGCTCCTGGCATGGAGCCTGCTTCTCCCTCCTCCTGTGTCTCTGCCTCTCTCTCTCTATCATGAATAAATAAATAAATAAATCTTAAAAAAAAAAAGATTTTCAACTGTGCAGGAGGTCGGCATGCCTAGTCCTCACGCTGTTCAAAAGTCAATGATATATAGTTAATTTTTAAATTATTTTTTAATTTAATTTTATATTTTATTATAACATATTAATATTAAAATAGATTTTTTTAAATTTTAAGTAGGCTCCACACCCAATGTAGGGCTTAAACTCACAACCCTGAGATCAAGAGTTGCATGCTCTACTAACTGAACCAAATACCTATTTTATTTATTATTTGTCTTTTTGAAGATTTTATTTATTTAAGAGAGACAGAGCATGAGCCAGAGAGAGCACAAGCAGAAGCAGTCTCCTCAATAAGCAGGGAGACCAATGCAGGGCTCAATCCTAGAACCCTGGGACCATGATCTGAGCTGAAAGCAGACCCTTAATTAAGCGAGCCACCCAGGGGCCTTCCCTGTATTTTTTTAAAGCTTAAATCATATGTTTAATTTCAAAGATCATTTGCTCATTGCTTCTTTTGAATTGTTCCATTATCTTCTGGAATCTCTCAAAAATTATTGGTTAGAATATATTTTATATGTTCTTCTGTTCTTTGAATTAAATGTTTCATCCAAATCAGTGGTTTGTTCATCTTCGCTCTTCTTTTCCTGCATTGGTTTTCTTAAGTGTCTGATGATGATCCTTGGCTATCCATTCATATTTATGAACAAATCTAAGTTGATGAGTATACACACAGCTGGCCCAGGTTTTCTCTATAGCCATACAGATATTTCCCCCATTCAGTCTCTTTCCTGTACAGGAAGGCTGACTGCTGGTATATTAAGTGGCCAGAGCCACATTAAGATGTGTGGGTTAGCCTACAGAGGTAAGCTGAGAAGGCTCCAAGTGACAAAAACAGAAGAAAACAGTTTTACTCTGATTGTGAGTACTCTAACATATTTCCCCCTGGGCAGGACTGTCTTTCATTTTTCCTCCTGTATGCTTCTGTAACATAGATGAGTCCTCCCAAGTTACTTCACGTTCTACTCTTTTGTCATGTCCCTACAGCCACAGTGGAAGCCTTCCTCAGGTAGATAGTTTACCTTACAAATGGTTTTGAATTTCAGAAATAGACAAATGCTATCTTTAGTATGTGCATGTGTGTGTATGTATGTGTGTGTGGGTGGGTTTGTGTGTGTGTGTCAGAGAGAGAAAGGGAGAGAGGAAAGAATAGAGAATACATGTGTATGTGAATGATTTGAGGAGAAAGAACTGTGCAAGCAGAAATACTGTCTTCCTATTTAAGGCACATACCTTGAAATAATTACCCCTATTACCAAGAACTTGAAAGTTTTGAGGCTTTCCTTTCATGCACAGTTGCTCTCTGTGCCATTCTGGGTTGTCATTTTCCAGCCTTCAGGCTGTCAATTCCTCACAATTCCTGATGGCACCATTTCCTGTCTTCCAACAGTGTTGAGAATTTATCTTTTAATTCTTTGGTTCTATAGAATTTGGAAAAGAATGGGAAGTAATGGCATCTATTCAAAAAGTTATTTAGAACAGGAAAAGGCCCATAGAATATCTATAATTTAAAAGAAAGATATAGTGGACTAACAAAGGTTATAGACCAAATAAAATTCAAATGTCTTGTCATGACCTATCTAAGTTCATCACTTACCACTGTCCTCCTTAGCTCACTACGATCCAGAAACATGGGCTTTCTTTTTGTTTTTCAAAAAATATCAATCTTATTCCTATGAGTTTTTGTGCTCTTCTTTTATGTGGAAATCTGATTCTCATAATTCAGATCTCTGTGCATAGGTCACTTCTTCCTAAAAGTCTCTGCAATGATCACTATGTAAAATAGGACCAATCCCAGTTTCTTCCACATCATTCTTTTTGATTTTAACTTTACCAAGTTTATCCTATTCTAAGATAATCTTCAATATTTCTTTTACTTATCTGAGTACCTAACTAACGTAAGTGCTACATAAAGCTGCTTTGTAACATCTCACACTGTATCATAATATTCAATAAATATTTGATAAAGATCTGAGAAGACATAGCCATGATATAAGACCTCAGAAGTCAAGAGAGAAGAGGATAAAAATCAAAGTTAAAGTGTTAGCTATGAAAAGAAATTATATATTTCTGAGATTGATAGAAATGAAAGAAGGATAAATATTAAGATGTTCTGAGGTGTTGGGAGACAATTGTCCATAAATCTCTCAGGTTTCTGCAAAAGAGGTACTGAGGGCCCTTTGTTCTAGACGATCTCTTCAAGGATAACAAATAGCCCTGGAAAATAGAGGTAATGTTTCTTATGGAGCAAAGGGCAGGCATGCTTACTTCCCATTACAAAAAGTTTAGGTTCCCTAAGCTCTTCTGTAATACAACCCACTGCACGTACAGGTATCATCTGGCACTCTTTATGTCACACTAAAGAAACTGGGGATTAGAAAAAAAAATGCTAATACTTCACTCTATTGCTATGAATAAAAACTAACCTTCACACTGACCCAGGAATTTCATGTTTTCTACCAGCATCCATGAAACTGGCTAACTTAGTAGACTGCAAGTAAGGTAAAATCTCAGACTCTTTATGCTTCTTTTATGTGAGGTAGGGACCAAAAAAGTAAAACACTTTTACTTAATAGTGTAAAGCTTGATAACTTATTTTTTTCCTAATGAAGAATGAAGAGAGGTCTTCTGTTGAGTAAGACCAAGGGAATAGGGGGAGGCTCAATACAAGTGACTTTAGATAATAAAGTCACTGTGAGAAAAAGGAAAGAAAGCACACTGAAAATGAACAACCTCCACTCCATCCTGTCCTACCAGTTCACAAATACTCTTGATTTCTTTGCCTGATTTATATTAATTTCCTGATTTATATTAATCTTCTCCAGGGCTACAGTTTGATTTGGTTCTGGCCCTGTACTCCTTTTCTGGACTATTTCAGTAATCTCTCCAAAGAACCTCTTTTTGCCCCAACCTAACCTACTGATAGATTAATCTTATCAGATAACGAATCTTAAATCATTCTATTTACAAGACACTGAAAATTACAGTAATGGCATGATCACTTTAATTTTTTTAATAATGAAATGTACATACTAAAGTATAAACCATATAAGCTATTTAATGAATAAAATGAATATCCTTTACTCACCATTCAGTTTAAGAAACAGAACACTAGGGCAGCCCAGGTGGCTCAGCAGTTTAGCGCCCCCTTCAGCCCAGGGCGTGATCCTGGGGACTCGGGATCGAGTCCCACATGGAGATCCCTGCATGGAGTCTGCTTCTCCCTCTGCCTGTGTCTCTGCCTCTCTCTCTCTGTCTCTCGTGAATAAAAAAAATAAAAATAAAATAAAAAAAAGAATAGAAAAGAAACAGAACACAACCAGTACCGTAAAACACTCGCACCCCCTCCCCAAGTCACATCTCCCATTCTCTCCTCCAGACGTGACCTGCACCCTGAATTTTGGGTTACTTTCCTTTACCAAAAATATATCACTACCTATATATGTATCCCTAAAGAATATACTGTTGATGAATGGATAAACAAAATGTGATATATCTATACAATGAAGTATGCTACAGTCTTAAAAGGAATGAAATAATTCTGATTTCATTAAAATCCTCCTATGGCTTCCTATTGCCAAGAGCACAGAGCTTTTAGCATGTCAATCATGGCCTTCATAATCATTTCCCCGTTACCTTTCTAGTACTACCTCTAACACCAACCCTAGAACTGTAGCTAAATAACATACGACTTGTTACTTCTAAAACCTCATAGTCTCCTACCTTTTACTATGTTGCCGCTTTACCTGGAATATATTCCCTGTCATTCAGGAGCTTCTTTAAATGTGCTTTTCAGGTGCAACCTCTTCCATGAAACATTCCTGTTCCCTAGCCAGAGAGTCTTTCCTTCATCTGAAATCACACAGCACTTCATCTGAATTTCCCATATAGGGTGCATTTTCTACCATTATATTTCTACTCTCACTGCCTGATAACCTTTTTAATCACTTTCATCCATTGGTTTCAGTGACCCAGCACTCTCCCCATTTTCAACCTACCTCTCTCCAATTGCTGCTTCTTAGTATTTTTAACTGGTTCTTCCTCTGTCCATCTCTTAAATATTGGATTCCTCAGGATCCTACTCAAGAGTCCTCCGAGATCTCTTTATATCCTCCCTGCAAAACTCCTCATCTACTCCAAATACTACCTACATGCTGATGACTTTTAGTCACCAGCCCTCATTTCTCTCCTGAGCAGCTTGTTTATATATCCACCTCCTATTACCCATCTTCCACATTAACTTGAGGTTCACCATTATAAAACTGAATCCATATTCTTCCTTTTCTGAATCCTTCCATGATCTCAATCACATTAAATGGAAGCACTATCCACCTAGTTACTTAAGTTAGAAACTTGAGTGTTACCTTTATTACTATTTATTTCTTCCACAAACCCCACATCTTATCAATTACCAACTCTGTTGCTGTTACTAGTTAAAACTTCATAAATTCATCTAATCTAGTTCTTTTCATCTCTACTGCTACCAAAATAGTTTATGGCTCAAACACATCTCAACCAATTACCCAGAATGTCCTTACACTTTATATTCTTGTCTCTAATCTAACTTCTCCCAACCCACTCTCCATTCTGTCAGCAAAATCCTTCCAAACAGCAACAAGAATCATATCATTTCTCTGAAAAGCCTTAATGACTTTCTATCGCACTAAGGATGAAATTCCAATAACACCTAAGACCATGCATGAAATAGTCCTTGCTCACACCTCTGGCTTCATCTCTGAACACTGAAGTTCTAGAGTCCCATGAGACATGCCACATTCTCTAGCTCCTCTTTCCTTTGTACATACTTTATGTGAAATACACTTAGCTACCCCCACATCTTTTTCCCTTTTAACACTTCACCTCAGGCTAACCCTTATACATGTTATGCCTCAGGTTAGCCAAAACTTTCTCCAAGAAGCTTTCCCCAATACCAGACTCCACTAAGATTTGGTTAGATGGCCAAACCTAATTCCACTACAGGTACTTTCAGAGTACCCTGTATATTCCTCACTCACAGTACTCATCAACTTACATACTTAGATTTACCTATTTACTTGTCTGTGTCCCCCACAAGACTGAAATTGACTTGTGCCCTGATAGGTAATTTAATTACTCTTACAGAACATGGTAGGTGTTTTATAAATATTTGTTGTCAAATGAATGAATGTCTTATCTCTGCTAAATAAGAAGGTATGTCCCCCAATGGCAAAATCTGAGTATGATAAATCTGCAATCACTATATGCTATGCTCAAAGAAACAAGAATTTTAAAAATTTCCACAAAGGTCAAGTAAGGCTTAAATTTCAAAGAACATGATCTGCATTCAAAAGTTTAACTCAAAATGCTAAGAAGGAACCTCAATCCAGACTCCTGCCTTTAATCAAGTAAAATATAATCAATTTGTCAATTATATATGACCAAGTACTTATAAACTGTTAAAAACATTATTTAAAGTAACATGTGAAATTACAAAATTAGACATATGGAATCCCAAATAAGGTGTAAAAATAAAAACTGACTCTAAGAGGCATCCATATTGGTAAAGAAATTCAATCATCACTATTTGCAAATAACAGGTATATACAAAAGAAGGAAACTGGACCACCTCCTTACACCACGGGCAAAAATAAACTCAAGTGGACTAAAGACCTAAATATGAGACCTGAAACTATAAAAATCCTAGAAGAGAACACAGGCAGTAATGTCTCTAACATCAGCCATAGTAACATTTTTCTAGGCATGTCTCCTAAGGCAAAGGGAACAAAAGTAGGGCAGCTCCGGTGGCCTAGCGGTTTAGTGCTGCCTGCAGCCCAGGGTGTGATCCTGGAGACCCGGGATTGAGTCCCACGTCGGGCTTCCTGCAAGTAGTCTGCTTCTCCCTCTGTCTGTGTGTGTGTCTCTCTCTCTGAATAAATAAATAAATCTTTAAAAAAAAAAAAAGGAAACAAAAGTAAAAATAAACCACTGGGACTACATAAAAATAAAAAGTTTTCTTTGCACAAAGAAAGAAACCAAAGACAAAACAAAAAGGCAACCTACTGAATGGGAGAAGATATTTGCAAATATTTACTTACATATCCAGTAAGGGGTTTATATCCAAAACATAAAGAACTTATGCAACTCAACACTAAGAAAAACTCCAAGTAATCTAATTAAAAATGGTCAGAGAACCTGAAGAGACAGTTGTCCAAAGAAGAGACATAGATGGCCAACCAAATATGAAAAGATGGAAGAAAAAAAAATGGAAGATGCAAATCAAAACCATGAGATATCCCTAACTCCTGTCAGAA